ATAGACGGAGCATTCTCAGGCAAAATCGCTGCCCACCTGGCTTATGCAGAAGGCTTATGTTGAGCTGCAATCCTGCCTTCTAAAAATATATAAGGAACATGCAAAGTGTGGTACAGAACCAAAAGGATGAAAAGATTAGGGCCAGCATCCTGTTCAATGTTCAGTGCACAGGATGCCACCCAGGAAGTGGCAGCTGTGACCTGAGAAGGGGCCCAGGCGTGCCTGTTCTCATTCCCCTGGCACCTGGTCAGATCAGTATGGCAGCACCCACAGTTGGCGCTCTGTACGTAGCAGGATCCTGGCCCTGTAAGACGACCCAGGACATGTGGGGAATTGTTTCTCATCAGATACAGGAAAACCCTGGGGATTTATAAGGGAGACCTTTTTAAACAAATCATCTCAAAAAACTGCCCTGCCATTATAAACATGTGGTATATAACTCTAGGTATTAATGAGAAGAAGAATGGTTCAGTTAACTTTGAAAAGGTCAGGCCTTTTAACAGCACGGGTATTGCCTTCATAGTTTGTGGAGATGTCCTTTGGTGCAAAAATGTACTATAAGTGATTGAACTGCAAAAGAAGAGAAGAAGCTGGGTCATGAAATCCCAGCTGGTCGCCTGGCTTTGCTCCTTAATTTTAAAAGGAAAGCTCGTCATCTCCCCCTCCCCTCAAATGAGGAGGAGGATCCCTGGAGATAGCCCAGCTTAGGCTGAAGATTGGCGACTGGCGAGAATAACAATGGTTAGTCAAGATGTTGGGATTTTGCCACAAACTCAATGTATCATTTTGGACTGGGGGGGGGAATGCTTCTGATTCCCCTCAAACAAATATAATATACCCAAGTATACCACACTGTTTTCCAATAGCTTGGATTTCAATAAAATGCACTTGAGGATAGTTTTCCATTACTATTTGTTCTTTTCAGAAGATTTTTGCAAAATATATTATGGAATAATCCACACAATCTTATTAGTAATATGAAATATATTTTTGTTTATATTTTCCTTTAATGCAGATACTTTTTGTATAAAGTTATGTTTCTGATTTAGTTAAGTTTCAGACTTTGTTTTGAAAGGATAAAAATGTACAATTTATTTTTAAAAAGGAAAATATGTTGCCCTCCATCACAAGATAGCAGAGTTTATTCAGGAGAAATGATTTAATTCTTCCAAATTTCTGACTCAAACGATGACCTGCATTAAATGCATAGCATGCAGTTAAGCACTGCTTTCTTTTTAATATTATTATCCTTAAGTAGGTGGTATAGCATGAAAGAGCCCTCCTGAATCCAGGTTAGGGTGGTGGTGGTGGGCCTTAAAATTTCCCCTCATCTGGATTTTCCCTAAAAGTCTCCCTTGCAGAACAGACGGGCTCTTAAAAAGGAGAAAACCCATCCACCTTTGCCAGCCAATGGACGTTTTGCTTCTGCTGCTGCTGCTACTTCAACCTCAAAAATAAAGTTCAGGTACATACTAAACATTTACCATAGCACTTAATCAGAAACATCGCCTTCTGTCTGAAAGCAGAATTACATTCTAAAGAACTAAATAAATGAATTTACACCTTTGACATTAAACATGAGGTGGGGTAGGTTAAAAAGAGAAATCCTGATTATTCAGCAAATTAAGCCATGCATTTTTATCTTATTATGCCAGGATAACACATGCCTCACCTTACAAATGGCTGAGGAGGCAAGTCAGAGGTGTCGGCTGTTGGGCTCACTCCCTGGTCGCCAGCCTCTGGTGTGTCCCTTCTCCAGCTGCCCTCCTGTTTTGCTTCTGCCTCTGTTGACTTACTCGAGAGACTTGATCCTTTAAGGCTTCTGTGGGACACTTTGGGTCACATTAAAAAAAAAACTGGCCTGGTAAAAGGCCCATCCATGGGACCTGAGAGCTGGCTTCTCTGTTATATTTTAGGGTTCTGATACAGGAATTATATTCAGTGGGATATGTTCTGTTTCCTATGGCTAAGTCTGTGGGAAGATCTGTTTGGAGATTCCTTTGTTAACAGAGCAAACAGCAAAGACGCTTCCAGTGGACCTTTAAACCCACCTTCCCAGCCATTTCATGGAGCAAGAAAGCAGGCAAAGCTGAGCTCAAAACAAAACCCATGGCTCCAGAATTTAGTCCACTTCTGTTGCAGCCAGCCATCAATCCAGACAGGACCCGACTCCCAGAGGAAGACCAGGGGTGTCCCCTGGAGCAGGAGATCTTTGCAGGGGTCCATGGCCTTCCAAGAAGGTCACTGCGCTTACCTACCCGCAACCCAGCTCAGGTTATAGGCTCTGCTCAGGGCCCTCTGCTCTCTCAGAATCAAGGCAAAAGCCCTCAGGAGGCCGGAAAGAAGAGGGGAAGGGAAAAGGCCGCAGGGTGGCCACGTGATCACCTTTTGGGGGGTGTCCCGTGGGAGGGAGAGTGGCCAGACAAAGGCTGTTCTCTTCCCACCCAGCTTGCAGAGTTCTCTCCTCACTTTCCCAGACACCCTGGAGTGACGTGAACTGCCTCACTCTCGGCCTGCTGGATTCTGCAAGCGGCGCTCAGCTGGCTGCCGCCACGGAGTAAAAGTTGGCTCTTCCCAGGAGCAGCAAGGGCACCTCATCATCATCCGGGCAGACGGACGAGCCCAGGCTGGAAGAGAAGAGGCGGGAGATCCTCCTCGGGGCCTCCCAGACAGCAGCGGGAGCCTCTTGCTGAGACACAGGCAGAGAAAGGCTGGCAGTGGAGCAGATCGTGGCTCCAGGAAGACGGGCTGGAGGAGTCTTGGGCTCCTGCCAAGGAGCCCGGGTGCGACAGCGTGCAAGCACCAGTGGGGAGGTACCACGAAGCCAAGGGGAGTGGCTGGCATGGGCACCCTGTCATGGAAGGACTGCCAGAGGCACCCCCAGAAGGGACGGGGGACCCCTGGCAGAACATGCTTCAGAGGCTGCTCTTTTGTCATGGAAGAGGCTGGGCTCCAGGTGGGGTGGCTAAATGCGCACAGCGACTCTCTATCTTTCAACTAGATGTCCACAGACAGGGCTGGTGCTTCAGGCATCTGTGGTGGGAAGCCTCCCCCCTTCCGCCTCCCCCCCTCCCCCGGTCTCTATACAGGCTGCTCTTAGCAGAAGTTCTCTGGGTGATGATTAAACCAAATCCAGAGCAACATGGCCGTCTCTTTTGCAGGCTCTAGAACCTCCGGGGGCAACTCAGCTCTGCCAGGTGGAAAGAACACCCTCCTCTTCCCCCCCTCCCCAGGCTCTGGCCTCTTTCCCCCCAAATGCAAATCATTTCCCAAAGTGCTTCGTTGTATATTATAGATCATAAATAAAATTAAAGCATCATGCTGTCCTGCATCCCTACATCAGATGCCTGCACCGTAAGCGAGTAGACCTTTCTTCAAGTGAAGCTGGCAAAAGATAATCAGAGAGTGATTCCACTCGGCTGAACATCAGCCAGCTCCAGGCCTCTCTTCACAATTTCCTTGATTAGCTCCTGAAAGTGAAACGCCACAAGAAGCCCTGCAGCTCCACCTCATCCCCTCTTTTTAGTGGGGAGGGCAGACACTGAGGTGGTGCTCAGCTCCCCCCAGGACCATGTGAAACCCTCAGAGTCAACAGAGCCGCTCATGGTAGAAAACCCCATCCTCCCCCTGGCCCCATCTTTTCTACAGACAAACTCATGGCTGCCGGGAGCAAAGCACCAAAGCAGTAGCAACACAGCACAAAATCACACTATGAGGAGGCTAGAAAGCAGAGGCCACGGGCATGAAACAAGCCCAAAGGAATGAAAGCACACCTCTCTGGAGGGGACGTGGTGTCGTCCAGCCAGTACAATCCAAAGAGCTCCCGGCCGTTTCTCTTGCATTCACGGGGCCTCTGCTTGCAATGGGCCTCGGTGGTTCTTAGTCAGCCTCAGCTGGGGGCCTGGAGCAGGAAGGACCTTCTGGGTGATTTGGGGCTGGAGAAGCCTAAACCAGCGACTTGGCCTGCGCCAAAGCTAGGAACCAAATGCCAGAAGAGGCGACACCAGCCTGGAGGATGCAGCCTGTGCTCCCAGTTCAAGTTACACTCCGGAGACCTTTTTCTGGACTGGCTGAAGCTCCAGGACTGTCTTTGCAGAGGGCCCGAGGTGAATGGCAGACAGGATCAGAGCGTGGATCCCTGGTCCAATGCGGGTGCAGCAAATGCAGCTGGCAAGAGACATTCCCGGCGATGGCCTCCCTCTGGAGCTCTACAAACAGAGAAGTGTTCAAGATTAGAACCAAAGTGGGGTGGGGAGGGGGTACAAGGGGGGAATGCCCTCTCCTTCACACCTCCAAGGAGACCTTCAGAAGCCCAGAGTTGGCACTCTTTCCCTTTATTTGAACAAAGTGCCATGCCTCTAAAATTGACAAAGCCCTCCCCCCACCCCCAGGTTTCTGGGGTGTGACTGTCCATTTTTAGGGTAAAAAAAGGAGATGAGCCCTCCCACCTTTGCTCTGTCCCAGGTGATGCCTCAGCCCACACCTCCAGCTGGCCTCTGGCTTGTCCAACCTGCGGCCCGAGGGCCGCATGCGGCCCAGGTCAGCTCATAATGCGGCCCAGTGCAATTTTTTATTTTTAAAGAAATTCCAAAGTTTCAAGTTACACTGCCAGCGCTTGCGCCCGAAATGTGGCTGGGGCATGTCACAACAGTAGAGGGGGAGAGAGGGAAGGAAGGAAGGAAGGAAGGAAGGAGCGGGTGGCTAAAGCACCAGGAGTCAAGGCGCCCGGGAAGCACCTCAGGCGGGAAGACCGTTCCAGCAGGGCACCCAGGCGGATAGACTTAAAGCCGCCTGGGGACCTCGAACCCCCACCCCCTCCTCTGCCCTAGGTCTTGCCAGGAACCAGCGGTGTGGCGGGGGGGGGTCACCTAGGAGGTGCCAGGAGCCCCGAGGACCCACTGGGCCTCCTTGCCTCTTCCCCTTGGGGTCATGAAGACCCCCCGCCCCACCTTGGCGCCCCCTCGTCCTCGGAACTGGGAAGAGTCTGGGAGTGCCTTGCGATGCCTCGGGGCCACCTAGCCCGGATCCTTCCCGCAGGAGATTCGGCCGCTGCGGCCTCGGAGCCCCAAGCCGGGGTCCACTCGCTCCCCAGTCCTAAGGCACCTGCAGGGGCCTCGGGGAAGCGCCGCTCACAAAGCGGGGGAGTGGGATGCCCGCCTTCCCGCTCGGGGCCCCTCCTCGCCCCGCCGCCGGCCCTCCAGCTGAGCGCCGGGGCTCCCGGGGAGCGTCCTTCAGCGGGAGGCCGCCTCCCGCCGACTGCGGGCTCAGCGGGGCTGTCAGGCGCCTGTTTTTCGGAAGGCGCCAGAGCGCAGGAGGCGAGCCGTACAAGCCCGCCGGCTCTGGACGCCGGATCCCACCAAGGAATACTGACAGCTCGCTTCCCCTTCGCCTTCGGACATGATCCTGGGCGGAGGAAGGCGCCGCTTGCGCAGGAAGCCTGCCGGAGGGTCGCGGACGAAGTGGGGCGGGCCAGCCCGCGGCTCCCTTCCTTCTTTCCCCGCCGAAACAGGGGAAGGTCCCCCTGGGCTTCTCTCCTCGAGGCGCGCACCTCTTCCTTCCGGGGGTTGGCGCCGACGCCGCGATTCCCCTTCTCCCACCGCTCCCCACCTGGCGAAAAGCCAAGCTTAGCCTTACCTATAGCCCAAGCTTGTGAGGAAACGGCGTGAGGGCGTGAGTGCGCGCGCGCGTGGGGGGGGCCCCACGTACCTTGCCTCCAGCGGGGAAAGGCAGGCTCAAAGGAAAGAGAAGCTGGCTTGGGACAGGAGAGGCAAAAGCTGGCCGGGAGAAAGGGGCGGGCGGTGGATCCCCGAGGCGTTCTCCCGTGAGGGCTGCGGGGGTCCTTGGCCAGGCGGGCGGGAGAACCTCGCCTGTCCCGTCCCGAGCCGGCTTTCCCCGCGCAGCAGCGCACTCACCGAGAGGCCAGCGCGGGCG